GTGGAAATATTAAAAGAAAAAGGCAAGATTTTTCAGCACAAAGCAGTTAAATGCTTGAAGAATTGACGACTAAAAAACAAACGTCAAATAAATGCACAAGAAGTTAATGTTCATTAATGATGAGCAAAGTTACAAAGGGAAAAAATCGAATTACAAAAGAAAAAAGACATCATATGTCTTAATTACAGTCTACCCCATATTGAACGAATTCGTTCCCTAAGTTTTTCCCAATCCTCGTTCTGCCGAGAGGAAGTGATGTTCAATTCAGCCGCGACATCATCATCAACTTCCAACTTCTTGTACTGCTCGACCAAGGATTTAGTTCGCTCAATTCCCTGGGAGGCGATGCGCTTTTTATCAGCCATTCTCGCCCTGCAGTCGTCCATTTTGGCTTGAAGTTCCCTCATCTGAGTAGCCAAGTTAACCATCAAAGAGTCTTCAACCATAACTTCGGAAGAGATTTCTTTCAACTCGTCCTCAGCCTTGTTAATCTCCATACGCAAAGACTCTTTCTCAGCTACGGCTCGAAGATATTGAGTATGCTTGGCCTTTAGTTCAGCATTCTTGGCCAGCATAGAAAGGACCTCAGAGTGGATAACCTTCAACGTCGCTTTAAAATCGGCAGAAAGATTGAGCGAGGGAAGCGTCAGTGCTTGCTCCAACTTCGCACTCAAGTGCTCAAGTTCATCCTTGTGTTTGGCAGCACTAGCCCTTCCAATATCCGTATCCATGAAGGATACGTACTCAAATACTGACTCCTTGAGGAACTTCAAATCTTCCTCTGAAGAAGCAGCAGGACGATCAGATGGAGCAGGGCGAGACGTCTGGACTTGCCCCCAGGAAGCGAACAAATCTTGGATAGAACGCACAATCCTGTCAGCATCCTATGAAGAAGGTTGCCAATGTTAAAGGTCCTCACTACAACGAACAAGATAGAAATAGAAGTGGAGCAAAGATTACCTCATCAACAATCGTGGAAGATGGTATGCCCCCAGCCAAGCTTGCCACCAACGACTCCTCCATTCGCGAGGACTTCCCCTTGTCTGAGTGAGAAGATGTTGCCACAGCGGGGGGACTCATAGGAGTATCTGCAGAACTCAAGAGCAACAAATTAGAAACCAACAGCACAAGCAAAGGTAAGACATCAAAAGACTGAATTACGTTCTGCTTCAATGTCTGGGGGGTTGACGCCCTGGTAAGAAGGTGGTTCATCCATGAGTTGTGATGAGGACTCTGGGATTGAAGATGTCTCTTTAAGAGTAGCCCCTTCATCAACCGGTTTGGATGAAGTAGCCTCAGCAGAGGATGATGGAGCAGGAGCTGTTGATGCCAAGGCCTTTGAAGGAGAGGCTGAACTTTTCTGAGGAGTCCAAAATATCATCAGCACACAGAAAAGTATCAAGTAAGGAAAAGTATGCTTGTAAGTAAATCAATTTAATTACCTTCCTCCTGACAATAAGAGGGGCATCATCATCATCATCAACATCATCCTCCAGAATGGGAGATGTTGAGGCTGGCCGTTTGCGGCTTGGGGCACTCTTGGCCGTAGTAGGCTTGGCAGGGAGAGAAGACGATGGACGAGTAGACTGTTTAGTGCGACGAGAAGGAGAAGGACTCCGAATGGACAAGGGAGTGACTAAAACAGGAGGAGGGGAAGAAATACTCGGTTGGTCTAATAAATGAAAGGCACGATTGGCGTCAGTCGCAAATAATCTGTGCTTCACTGACGGCCAGAGCTGCTTAAAAAGAGGGTGAGTGGCATGACAAGAATTAAAAGGGGCTAATGAAAAGTGGCTTGATAAATGGAGGTTGCGAGCATTTATAGCCTCTGCTTCCGCCTTATTAATGGTATGAAAACGGTCAATTAAGTTCTTCGAATAGCAAAGAGGAACAGGCCAAGTTTGGCCGAAACCAAGCTGACGAGCAAAAAATTGGGGAGCATAAATTTCTGCCCCCGCTTTGGCATTGGTCCCAGTTAAGATATCATGAAAAAGCTCCCTCCCGGTTAAAAACTGGATCCAAATGAGCAGGGAGGTGCTCGGCTATCTATAGTGGAAGGGGGATGTACATAGTTCGGAGTCAAAAAAGAAGGAAAAGGAAAAAAGAAAGAGATTGAATCCAAAGAATAAAAGAACGAAAAAATGTCCCTTCTGGACATATTTACAGGAGCTAAGGGCTCAATGGCTAGCCCATAGCAGCTGGCAGAAGAACGAGAAATTGAAGGAGCGCCAAGCGATGGGAAATAGGATCTCAACCACAGTTGAATGAACCAAAGAGGTCCACTGCCAGTGGGAGATGCACCATTCTTCAATTGAGCTTGAAGAGAGGCCATGCCTCTATAAAGGGCAGCCAAAAATAAAGAACATGAATTTAAAGGCCTACCACGCGCCAATTCGTGCGCTATAGGTAAATAACTCAGAGAGGGCTTTATGCTTGGCACACACAAAATATATTTACAAAGCCAAACTAGAAGGAAGGCCACTCGCTCAGTATGGGAAGGCTCAGCACTCAAATGATTGTGGAGAGTCTGCAAGCTTGAATAAGAATCAGTGTAGTTTTTACCAAACTTTGGGGCGCCACCAGAAACTAAGATACCTGGAAAAATGGTATCGCCCAAAGGTGGTAGATTCACCAGGGCCCCAACATCCCTTAGACTAATAGATATGGGGCCGAGAGGGAAAATAAAGGTATTATACTCGGAAGACCAAAAGCTCAAAGAAATCGAAAAAAGTGCAGAATCAAAAATAGGAGGGCGAATAGAGATTTCTAACAAATCAGAAATCCTAGCGCTATCAAAAAGTGCCTTAGTAGGACCATGACCCACAAGGCGAGCATGCCACCTACGAAAAGCTACATCAGATTTAGGCCAAGTGCGAATACCTCTTTCGCGAAGTGGCCCCAGCGGCAGAGAGTTTAGAAAAGGAGGACCATGAGTGCAAGGAAACAGCTGACCCACCGTCGCCTGTTCAACTGCCTCTGCATTGTTGAAGAAAGGACCCAAGTAGAACTCATTACGTCCAACGTCAGCGGGTGCGAGAAAACTCGGAGTTATATATGGACGACTCAGGAGTTTCTGAAAGTCGTCGAAACTAAAGGAGTCGCCAGCTTGAGTTTGTGAAGTAGCCATTTGAGATGGAACGAAGTTTTGCAGGGTTACGTAGCAGGGAAGCAAAAGATGAACAGTAAATCTTGAGAGAGACGCGAAAAAATTTGAGGCGTGATTTAGTGGTGCAGTGAAATGGCGTGTTTGAGGGTTATAAGGTTTGCAAAACGACGCACCTTTTCAAGTTATAGAAGGAAACAATGATTGAAATTCTTGGGAATTTCGAATGTTGCTGGAAACACAAAGTGAATATGGCAAAATTTAATAATTATTATTAATTCTGCCATATTGGGGGGTAATTGTTAACACATAAAAATGCAGCCCAAATCGAACAGACCAAGGAGTGAAGTCCAATTGGAGGATCCTCAAATCAAATAGCCCAAATAACGAAGCTCAATCAAACAAATCAAAATGAAGGCCCGAATAAAGAGGCCCAAGAACGCAGTAACGCCATCGCCCAAGTTTGCAAGTCGCCCAGAATCTGAGCGAATGGAATGTCAGACAGTCGCCCAGAGCTGTTACTCTATTCTCGCCCAAACCTTCAAGTCGCCCAAGGTTTTAACAAACATAAAGCGTCGTGGTTATCAAGAAGTGCAGTTATCAAAGCAGTTATTAAAGCAGCCTATCACGTTCCACGATTCAAGGAATTCAATCGAAAGCGGTTGAACGATGAAGGGTAATGGCGGCAGTTAAAAAGGCAGTTTTCATGACAAGATGGTCATTACGAAGAAAGTGGGTAGTTATAGGACTATCAAACAGTTTTTAGAGCGGTTGATCACAAAGAGATCGTCCATGAAGTATAAAAAGGAGAAAGGACATAGAAGCAAAGGACCGAATCCAAAACTCTCAAACAGAGAACATGTAATTTTCATTTCCTTAGTTTTTAGATTTAAACACTTTTCTTTCAGTAACTCGTGTGCTTGCGCCCCTTGGAGGCATGTTGTTTTCATTTCCAATTGTAAAATTCATCGCCAATAAAAGAACACCCATTTTTGGGACTTTGTCTCAAGAGGTTTTGTCCCTTACACAATCGTCTGATCCTTTTTAATTATTAGCGACTAACCCGCGCGAAACAGATACGTTAAAAACCCAACTATATTCCTAAGATTTTCATTTCCCAAATAACACATCCAAAAGTTTTAAACGATAGTCTTTCGAAATTAGAATGTTGGAAGTCTACGACAACTGGAAATGGTTGATTAGACTCATTAGAGTCACGCTACGGAGAGAGGAATTTCGTGAACTTGCTCGTGCCCGCTCGAGAAGTCCTAGTGCCACCTCTTCTTCCTTGGGTTTCACTTTGAGTTATCCTCTCCATGATCGAGGTGAATTTCTTGTGCTTTTTAGTGATAATAAATCAATTTAGGATTGCATATTTTCATTTGAGACGATTTTAGAGGTTAGTCTATCCGTCATAATAGGTGGTCATGTCGGATTCTATTTTTTTCACCTGAAAACGATGAAGATTGACTTGTTGGTCCAAATTAAAATAATATAGAAGTAAATGAAAAATATAATGCAAATTGAAAGAGAGCAAGACTCTTCCAAAAAAAAAGGACACTGACCGGCCTAGCCCGCGCTGATGGATCTACAGGCCGATCTGACCACTGTTTTGGTAGACGGGCCAGTTCAGGCCCATACCTGAGTAAATCGAGTTTGGATGTAGTCCAATTAACCAACTTTGATTCTTATAAGAAGATAAAATGTTGTTTATGTTTTAACCTAACATTGCATACAAAAATATATTCGTTATCGGGGCTGTCTTCTCACTTCCCCAAAAAAAATAAATAAATAAATAAATAAAATAAAATAAAATTCTCGATTGACCAAATTTTGACTTATAATATACATACAGATAAAGCTTCACAGGCATCCATTATCAACAAGCTGCTTGGTGAAGTCATTAGCCTAAAATGCCATTTCTTGGGACAGTTGTCTGGCAAACTGCATAAATAAGCATGTCTAATATCATTTTCTTGACATATAACTAAAGAATCCTATGGAACTTAGATTTTTCCTTTTTGTGAAGGATGATTTTATGATAGAATAATGATATTCATCTACGATCTCGATGATCCCTGGTTCGTGATGGTGGGATAACCGTCGCATTGTTCAACGTCTAAAAATGCATTCAAGGTTCATTGGACAAAGTGGCAGTGATCCATTCCACATATCGATGATCATCTAGAATCTAGATGAATAGCATTACTCTTTATGATACCCTTTTGAAATGAGATATCAATTCCCTTCGTTTAGATGCTTCAAGTTCACGTGGTGAGAGCAGAACTGATTCGCTTCGAGTCATCTATGGTAGTTTCAGCAATTCAACACGCAGAGGAGATTCTGGAAGTACCATATTCACCATGGAAGAAATTTGTAAGGCTACAAAAAACTTCTCTCGTAGCTTAAAAATTGGAGAAGGTCGTTTTGGAACAGTCTACAAGGGTCGACTCAAAGATGGAACTTTGGTTGCAGTTAAACGTGCTAAAAAGGTAGGACACTGACACAGTTACAGTCATATCAATGATATGTTTTGTTTTAAGGCTCTTCTTTCTTTGCAGCATGACAGGCCTTTGGTGGCAGACTTTCAAAGAGAGATCCAAACCTTAGCACTGGTGGAACATCTAAATATTGTAAAATTTTATGGGCATTTGGATCATAAAGATGAAAAGATTGTTGTTGTTGAGCATGTTCCAAATGGAAACCTAAGAGAACACTTGGACTGTGAGTTGTTTCTCACCTTATTGGACAATTAGCTGTCATTTTCTATGATTTCATTTTACATCTTTAATTCTTGATTATGTTATACTTAATTTCATTTTGAGTAAGTTAGTGCTTGTTAAAGGTAATGGAAAATTCCGGTAATACACTGTAGTTTTTGAGTGATTTGCAACAATAATTGTGTCGTTCTCCTTGTAATTCCTGGACAGAAAAGTTACAGGAATTCTCTCATTCCTTTCAGTATCTTTTTTCTCAAATATATTCTCGTCTATATTTTCTAACGGTGAACATGTGATTTACTGGTCCAGATGTACATGGTAATGCTCTTGATTTTGCTGTGAGGTTAGACGTAGCAATAGACGTGGCACACGCAGTTACCTATCTCCACATGTACACAGGTATGAATTTTAGTAGCAGCCACGTTAATTACGTTATTAGGAAATTTAGCTTCAGTACTTGAGTTGCTCTGTATGCAGATCATCCTATCATCCATAGAGATATCAACTCTTCCAACATTCTCCTCAAGGAGAACCTACGAGCTAAAGTTGCCGACTTTGGTTTTGCTCGGCTAGCAGCTAACAGTGAATGGGGAGAGACATATGTTTCCACCAGTGTTAAAGGAACTCTTGGCTATGTAGACCCAGAATACCTGAGAACCCTCCAACTTACAGAAAAGAGCGATGTTTATTCATTCGGTGTATTACTAGTGGAACTAGTCACAGGCAGGTGTCCGATTGAGCTAAAACGGGGTGCGGAGGAACGTGTTACTGTTAGATGGGTATGGCCATCTCTCTAATTTGCAAAACTGCAGTGAATGATGTCAAAATGGAACACATGATGGAGGATGAATTCTTATTTTTATTAATTAGTCCACAATTTTCATAGGTAGATGGGGGCAAGATTTAAATTTAAGGCATCTGCCTATTCTAATATTATATTGAACTACCTTATCGAAGGTTTAAGCTATTAGAGAGGGGACACTCTTATTTGTTTAAATTTAGTCTTCAACATACACTTTGGCGATTCTTGAACAAGGACATTATTTTTCTATCCTCGACTAACTTTTTAGGAGGCACAATAGAATATTGGTTTATGTTTTCTCTGGTTGATTTGAATTGATTCAAGTGCAGGTTATGAAGAAGTTTTATGATGGAGATGCAATCTTAACTTTAGATCCAAGGCTACAAAGGTCTCCTGCAAATAACTTTATAGTGGAGAAGATTCTTGAAGTAGCCTTGCAATGTTTGGCTCCTCATCAACGTAACCGACCTACCATGAAGAAGTGTGCGGAGATTCTTTGGAGTATTCGCAAGGATTTCAAAGAATTCCCTGCTTCAGATTCGCTCTCTTCGAATGCTTAGAGAAGTAGATAAAATATTCGGTGCAAGTATTTTCATTCACGTTACTTGCTTCCATTGAAAATACAGAAAGAGTAATGAAGATCCCCCTGTGAAATTTGATTGGTTTCTTGAATTTGGTTCGATTTACATTATGAGGTTATGAAGTTAGCTGATCCTTGATGATTCATGATAAGTCGAAGGATTGTATGTCCCTATAGAGTGATAGAAAGCAGGCCTCGAGGGAACCAGGGTTGGCCTTTTGCCCCCTCTGCCAAACAAATAAAATTAAATACAGACAACGTTGCAATCTGGTTTGCAAGTAAATAACGAATGAAGCTATTTGCTCATAAGCACAAAGCACTTTAGAGCATGTTCACCTAAGCTTAAAGGCTTTCTTAATTATGAATAAATTAGAACGTAGCACGTGATTGTATAAAGATGAATTTCAAACAAGTATACAAACTAAGACACAAAAACTGAACGACTCCCGAACAAAATCATTGATAATTGAATGTTATGTTTCGAGCTCATAATTTAGCTATGTAACAATGAACTCATCATATCAACCCCAGACCTAATGCATTTGAAGTTTAAATCATCGCATATCGATATAGAAAATACCATGATATGCGTAATTGTAATATAGACAATATTGAGTTTATGGATTTATTGTCATGATATCTTTGTTACCTAAAATTTAAGTATTCAAAGTGAGAAACAATTTAAAAACTTGGAAGAAATAAGATCTCTACAATGAAATCGTTGCATTCTTCTTGCCCACTAGTATGTAACACGTGATTTTGAAATGATATGTTGAGATAACTATACTTAAGATAATAACTTCATTTGGAAAACTCCGAGATTAACGACTTCTGTCCATTTATTTGTTTCATGTTGACTTTTAGTTAATGAAAGTTTATTTGACTTCTTGTTTGAGATATGAAAATCACTTTTTTAAAATTTTTATTCTATAATAAAATTAGCATGGATTAAGAAAGTCTAAAGCTTGGCTTACATTATATAGTACTACAAAAAAACTTAGTTCTCAATTATAATCGAACTTGGCAATTAATAAAGGCAGAAAAACTTTTATATTAATTATTGTTCTCGATTCAGTTGCATATGGGACTTTTTATTCAACCATAATTAAAGGAAGAATTGCAACCACGTTTTCAACATTTTTTTGTTTTTTTTTCTCCCGAAAATTTTATCTTAACCTTTAGTTTGTGTCAACCACAATTCCAAACTTTTCATTTTGTTGCAATACAAGAATAAATGGATGGATTCTGTCAATTTGACCATTAGTTGACCAATAAAATATATTTTGACCAAAACTAAAATGGGCAAAATGATAAGTTCCCTATTTTTTTTTTCACATAAAACAACTAAAATAATTGAAAAAGAAAAAAATAAAAATAAAAATAAAAACATCATATTCTTCCCACCCCCACCTACCCTCTAAACCAAAAAGGGGAAAGCCATCCCCTGCCCCCACTTTTAATCGAATGCCAACCACCTGCCACCACCACCATTGGTCATGCTATCGCTGGCCGTGCCACTTTCGACCACCTTTTTTAGTTGTCATTATTGTTACCTCTGGCATACGTGTTTTCTAGTGAACATCATATCAAACTCCCACTAATTAGTCCTTCAATGGTTATCCCAACCGAAAAACTTTCATCAACTCATCTACAACTGGCGTTATTAAGATTTGACATTGTGCTGCAACAAAATGAAAAGTTTGGTACTGTGGCTGATGCAAATGAAAAGTTTGGATAAAGTCGGCAAAAAAAGAAACATTTAAGATCATGGCTGTAATTCTCCCATAATCAAGGTTCGGAAAATAAAATGAC